TACATAATTAGTAGGGCCCCTGCTCCATCTCACCATTAGTTTGGGGGTCCTTGGCCTGGAAAACGTTGAAGGCCCCTGCTCTACAGTATAGGTAAGGGAGATCTAAAGCATCATGCTCCTCACAGTGGAGGATCTAAACCTCCTCTCAAAGGCCAGCCTTCTCTTTCCATTTTCGCGGATGAGTTACATGAGTGCAATATAAATAGTTTTTAACGATAAACAGAAAAAGAAGAACTGGGTTTCTTAACAAATGTTGGCTGCTAAAAATGTGATGGTAAAACATGGCAAAGTAAATAAATTACATTATGTGCATACAGGTACAGGTGTTGAAGTTAACATGATTATGTGATAATTAACATCAGTCTGTTATACAGGCGTCCATATCTTTGGCCTGTGTGTGACAGCGCTTATTACGAACATCCTTCAACTATCCACTGGACAACATACCCCCTACTGGTTGGATGTATGCAAACCCAATTTGACCCACATCAACATGTCCAGTTGTGATGAAGCTTTTATTCTGGAGGATATTTGTTCTGGACCAGACCCAGGACTCATCAACAATGGGAGGTAAGTCTTCCTTTCATTGTTGGAGTGACTGCGGATTGCCCTGAGGATTTTTTTGAGGATATTTGTGGGAGTCTGAAGACTTTTTTTCTTCCAATCATTTTCCTTAATGTTCACTCAATTTTTGTAAGTTGCGTTACAAAAAAAAAAATTGATATTCTGCTAAATTCGACAATGCAAAGTTTCACTATTTCAGTGCTTCCATTAAATAACAAATACAATTAAAATTGCACGTTTGTTTACATCATAACTGTGAAAGCAACATGACAGCAAGGAATGGAAACACAAAAAATATATCCATATTTTATTCATTGCTTTAGTGGGCGCTATCATCCTTCAACTACTTCCGGTCTTTTTTATCTTTTTACAGGGCGGTAAATTTACATTATAGTTTTTGCAAAGTATTTTTGGCAAACATTTTTAAACGACTGAAAAACCACCCCATGAAACCATGAAGACATTTCTTTGAACTATTTTTTTTTATTTTAATTTTTTTAATTGTGTGTGGTTGCACAGATTCACTCCTTTTTTCTCAGTTCACCAACTGTCATGGAATGAAATCTCAATCATTTTTTAAGCTTTACATGTAATAAATGTGTGAAAACATGTGCATACAGCACATATGAAAAATAGGTTTGCAAAATATGAGTCCCAGATTAGTTTCCCCACCTTATGGAGGACCAATCCTGCCATAATTAAAAACAAATACAGAAATAATAAATGCTCCAAAAATAAGAAGCATACAATTAATCCCCCCGTAAAAATGCAAAAAACAAATAAATATAGATAGAAAATAAATTATACAGTGAGGCATAAATGTATATATCTCTTTTAATTAGCTTCTTTGTTTTTTCATATTTTTTATAACAATTACCTTATTTATTTATTGTCTGTTATAATCTTTAACTTTATTTATGTGTTAGTTATTTCTTTAAGTATTTATTTTTGTGCATGTCATAATATTTTTTGTCTGGTTTATTCTTCCTTTGTATTTTTTTCCCTATTTATTTCTTCCATGCTATTTATTTCTGCCTATCATTTTTACATTTCTACATGCATTTCTGCCTCATTATGCAAATGAGGAGGGGTGTGTCTTAAGCCCTCAACTTCTGCCCATTGGCTGGTTAGCAGCCACCGACCACAGTCACAACAAACATGGCTACCTACGATGAAGTTATCAGTGAGCTAAGACATTTAGCAACTCTTTTTGAAAACAATGCTAAGGTTATAACTATTGACTTTATAATTTTTCGTTTGGACGCTTAGACAGACCGTGTGTTTCAGTTAGCGGCACACAGGGACACAGATGTTGACAATATAGTTTTTCAGCGGGATCTGGTTCACGGTTGATCCGACTGAGGGGCTCCGATGTCGGCCAGCGTCTCTCAGTTGCTCCCTCCTCCCACACACAGTGGTGCATTTAGGGACGGCCAACAAATCTTTCAACCAAGCACTCGAGAAACAAAAATCAGGTCCCTAAATAAGGTAAATATCATAAAGGCTGTATAATTTAATTTCTACCAACATATATTTGTTTATTTTATTTTGGTGGGACAATTAATTGTATGCTTATTTATTTTTTCAGCATTTATTTATTTCTGTATTTTTTTTTTTTTATTATGGTAGGATTGATCCTCCATACAGTTGCTGCCATTATGAGTGATTAAACTAAGATTAAACTGATTAAACTAACAATGATAAGAATAATATTTGAGAGGTTAATTTAGTTTAACTTATCAGCTTAAGGTCTGTGATAGGCCTGCTTATAATCAAGAATATACTCTAATAGTTCTCTAGTCTTGATTATTAATAGAGTTACAGTTTGATTTGCTTCGGATTCTGGGCTTTTATAAAACCTAGTATCAATAATGTGTTCAAAAAGTGCCAACAATTGATTTATGTTTTTGTTTAAGACTTATATCTTGCATGTTCATGTTATTTAACATGTTTATGTGTATATGTAAGGTGCATTGTACTTACTTTTGTGGATATGAAAGTTCCATATGTACTATGCATGTGTAAAAACATTATTTGCTCACCAGGAGTCGTTAACTTCTCCCCTAAGTTGTTAAATCCTGTCATCTTTCCTTTTTTCTAGCTGTACTCCATAGTATGAAGGACTCTTTTTGATATTAGTAATGATTAATGCAAAAATAAATAATTGCTTAACTTATAAATATATAAGAATTACACAAGACAATGTAGATAAATATAGCAAAAAATAAATGTAACCTTTGAATTTCTATGATACACAAAAATAAAGATAATTAAGTGATAAGGACAGGCAGAAAAAAACAAAGAAAATATTAATTCAAACACAGAAATAAATAAAAATTACAAGTGAATACATAAATAGCAAATCAATAGGGTAATTATTCCACAGATGATTCCATTAAGAAATTACATAAAATCGATATACATTTATGTTTCATTGTATAACGTATTACTGCTTACATGTATTTATTGCTGTATCATCATGCATAAATGCACTCCTATTTATTCATTATTTCAGAGTACTTTTTCATTAATATATTTATTTTTAATAATATCAGAGTTTGGCTTAGAATACGTCTAGAAAACAGAGCAGACAACATGTTGTAAAAACAGGACAAACATAACTTAAAACAACATGATCAACATAACATTAGAACAAAGTTGTAAGCACATAACACTTATATAACACACCATATATCCAACAAGCATATGTAGAAAAGCTCGAACAATGTAAACAACATACATTGTTCATGACCAGAGTATGCCTCATAAAAGCTCTAATTGGAGCTTTTATGAGGCATACTAATTAGGCATTTGAAATAGGCAATGAGGGGTATTTACTAGCATCCTGTACTAGTTCTTAGAAAAAAACTTTTCCCTCCACAAAAAACCTGTTCGGCGTCATGTGCAAATGAGGAAAACTACATTTTTTTGTTTAAACTTTTTTTTCCCAAATGGAGTCATTTTAATTTCAATTAGATTGT